TGCGTATTTTGAAAAACCTGTATTTCCGGTCCGGTTGAAGTACAAACGATTTGAAAGGTCTTATAAGAAAGTACAAACGATTTTCTTTCGAATGGCATAAGCGAAATTTAAAAATCTTATTGTTGGGCGCTGGTCATTTTTTTTTTCAACTTTTCTTTTTATCCTTTGAGGTACAAACGAAATATCAAACGGTGCAAACAAGTACAAACTAAGTACAAACGCGCTGCACTAATAATTTTTTTTTTCTATAAAGTTGGGTGCTAGGTTCACATTGGTAGGTCGGGACCCTGTATGTAAGTACAGGGAATGGCAAGTTACTTTTTAAAAGTAAAGTAACTAGTTATCGTTACTCGTTACCGAGTTAAAAAATAACTAATTACCATTACTAGTTACTAATTTTTAAAAATAACTTGTTATCATTACCGTTACTTAAAAAATAACAATTCGTTACTTTTCCGTTACTTTTATAATGCTGAAACGAGATCAGTCTAAATAAAAGATGTAATTTTTTGTTTTAATATTAATAAAAACAAAAATGACACTAAATTAATATATAAAAATACAACTAAAAAAATGAAAGCCTTTTCGATATGACCTAGAGCTTTGTGCTTAATATTTCAAAATAAATTTATATATACATATCCAATTTTACAAACTACGCGCCAATTAAATTTTCAATCTTGTTGAAACGCAATTCAGCTGATAATTTTCACAATAAATTTTTAAAATTTTTGAAGATGCATATAATGTAAAAACATCTTATTAAATTTCTTTCAATTTAATTTTTTATATTGATTGACTTATGGCATTCTTGAGATGTCATAAACCAATCACAGAGCCATATTAACATTTTAAGACATTATTTAAAACAGATTTAAAATAAGAGTAAATTATATGAATGAAAACTGAAAATTGAATATACATACGAAAATTTTGTCATAAATATAGAAAGTTCAAAATACAAAAAGTAACGATAAAACTAACTGTATAATTCGTTACCATTACTGAAAAAATGTAACTACGTTAACGTTACAGTTGCAAAAAAATAAAATAACACCGTTATCAATCCGTTACCAAAAAAAGTAACTGTAACGGTAACAGCGTTACAAGTAACAAGTTACTTTTAATCCCTGTGTAGGTGCATATATAAACAATTATGAAAAATTTACTAATATATATTTAATTACCTTATAAATTATAATAACAGTGAAAGTAATAACATAGTTTAAAACCAGCAATTAGTTTAGTGTTTTACTATTGTAAATATCTTACCAGGAGCAGTGAGTAATCCCATTCCAAATAACGGTGAAACAAATCTGTATATTGTACCTTTATCCATGCAATTTTTGCTGTATAAGACAGTCTACAACATTATAAATTACTTATTTTTTATATTTATAATGTAATGCATACTTCTGTTCAAGTAATTAATATAAATTTCATTATTTATAAAACTCATTGTATTATTTAACATAAATTATAATATTTAAAATTTTATATTTAAAGTAAATAAGTATATACTTATATATAAGTTATATTATGTTTAAAATAAAACCTGTTGGTTTTATCTTTAATTGTTTTCTGAAGAGTTATAAAACATTAAATATGTTTAGGAAACTTTCTTTACTTTTGCTTCATCTGCCTTGGATATTACAATGAATAACTTGCTGCCTACCCAAAGTTGACAAAGGGATGGATAATTTTTCAGAAGTCTTAATATAACATTTATAAAGTCTAAAAAAAATTTAGTATATCTTAAAGATGATTTTCATAAAATTACTCATTTATTTATTATTACAAAAATAAAAATTACGTACATTTTAACCACAACTATACATATATGTACTACACACTATTAGTCATAGTATAATTAAACTTTTTGTGAATATTTACGGGTTATATATATGTACACGCGATCTTCTACATCAAGTAAAATAGCAATTTTGCAAAAACTTTTTATTATTTCTATTTAATACTTGTATCCTAATATTTAAGGTGATGATGGAGTAAACTGCATAATATCGCTGTTTTACCACGTCAATTTGTGCATATATGTTGCGTGCAATATTGATATGTAGTGTGTATTGATAATGATGTGTTTTATTTTATCATACCAATATCACACACATACACACACACACACGCACGCACGCACGCACGCACGCACGCACGCACGCACGCACGCACACACACACACATTGTAACAAATTTTCATGTACACATTTTTCGAAAAGTGTCTAATTTAATTATATAAATTTAACTTCATATGATTTCATCATTTAATATTACGGTGTTTTCCATTTAAATCAACACAAATTGACACAAGAGTCATTTTCTATCTTTGTTGTCACTGAAAGTTGAAAAAAAAACAAAGTAATGCTTGAGTCGATTTGTATCCCTAAATGGAAAGTACCTTTAGTTTAGCGTAATTTTTGTACAAATTGCATTTTTATATCAAAAAGATTTAAATTTTAAAAATGTTTATTCTCGGCATAAACTCCGAACGTCAAAAATTTGATTTTTTTCTCCATATTTTTTAAATATGACAAGTTGTATGTTTCAGCTACACTAAATCTCTTTAATATCATTCAGACACTTCTAATAAGAAAAGGGACCCAAGTGTCCCCCTCCGATTTCGATAATAATGTTTTTCTCTGGACAAAATCAAGAATTAAGCTACCACATATTCATATTCTTACGTTCTTTTAAGGGGTGATACAACCCTTGGAAAAAAATCGATTTTTTTATTTCAATGCAAAAATGGTCAAAACTACGAGAGATAGAAAAAAATGTTTGAACCAAAGTTGAGCGGCTTTAAAAGTACTTCATAATTATAATTTAAAATAATGTTTTTATTGTTGATATTATTTGTAATATATCTAATTTTGTATGTATAATTTTATATTAAACTTACATATTATTTTGACAAATATCACTTGATTTTAATGCAATAATATTTTGGAATTAATTTGCCTAAAAAATAATTTATTCATACACATTAAAATTACTTTATTTGCATAAATAACAGCGTTTATCGTAAATAACTTTATTTTAAAGTTTTTATATTTATAAATTTATGTGTCAAAAATTATACATATAGATTTAATATAATTATATATACTTATAAAATCAAATTATAACTACATATCAAGAACAAAATTTAAAAATAATCAAAATTCTTATTATTTTTATTCTATTTTTAAAATTCTGTTCAAATTTTTTTCTCCTTAATAACATTATTTGTTATTACCTTCATATAAACCTTTTTTCAGTAAATGATAGAAATTTCCAATAAGTGGCAATGTCTTTGGTCCTGGTATACCATCTAATCTTCTGATAAAAAACACTTTTTGGCAGCAGTTCCAAAAAAAGTAACTTATAAAAACAATTGCCGAACAAATCAATACATTTACGAATAACATTGTACTAAGCAATAATAGATACCAAATAACCAATACAAGATATGTCAGTGTAACTCGATGCTAATTTTACTATCAAAATGGAAATATTATTAACTCAGTGATGCTTTTATTACATTTCCCCACTTAAAATCTGCTGAATAAGAAATCATGATTCTTCAGAATTTATCATGTCCTTCGATATAAATAGCATATATGACTTACATATTTTTCAATATGCATACACAATCTCAATTTACATTTATTTTACATTTATCTCAATATTTGTTATTCCGATTCCATATCCGTAATTTCCAGTTCAGTTTGCTTAAGGCAAAGGTTGAAACGTTGGAATTACCGACACATTGCAATCACAATCATAATGATAACTTCGAAATTACTGAACGCAATTGAAATCGCTTTTACAAGATTTAAATAGACATAAAATGTAAGGGGGCAACCTATGATTTGTGGTAAAAAATGACAAAAATTAAAAATTACCTTTTTTCGGATCGTACAGCTGTCACCTGACGTAAACATTTCATTGGTAATATAAAATTCTGTAAAAATTTAAAATTGGTAATATAAAAAATTCTGTAACTCATATATATGTATAAAATAAGTAGCTTGCCCCTTTTGAATTACAGGAACGAATAATACAAGATCTTTTGCGCTATGATTGAAAGCGTAGAAAAAAAGATATCGTTACGACTGCAATTTATGGTAATTCGTACGTTTAGCTAAGATATCAAATGGTAAAGACAGCAAAAATTGTATCTAGCAGTGAGTACCGGATTTTGCAAGAGATGAGGTTTTAATAAGTTGGATAAGAACAATATTGCACGTGTTAATTGAGTGAGACAGGAGATATCATTTAAAAATATCTTTGATTGAAGAATGTTTTGTCGACTTTATGCAAATTTTTCCGACCTTTCAACATGATCGCCTTAATACATGTACTTATTCAAGAAATAGCGATTATATAACAAGTAAATAAAAAACCAGTTAGTGCAAGAATTTATTGGAAATCTAGTAAATTATTAATTTCTTAGTCCTCCCAGTTTTTAAAAATGTAATCTTTTACTTTGTAAAAAAAATATTAAAATTCTATATTCTTGTATTCAAATTTAAAGTTAAAAAAAATGTAAAAGATCATCTCTGCGTGATGCACTTCAGAAATTTTCAAAGTAGTTTAAATTCGTATATTTGTATATAGTCCGGTCAATCTAGACATTTGAAGTTACATAAATTCGCTGTCAGCTGAAAATCGGTAAAATTGTTCAAAACACAATAAAAAACAATTTCTCAAAGTTCCCCATCGTTCCAGTTTAAGGAAAAAAATTGACTCGAGGTCAAAGGTCAAAAAAATGGGTTTTTCGCGATTTTCTTCAAAACGGTAAGTTTTATCGCAAAATTACCTCAGACATAAATTGTAGATCATAAAATTATCTATAAAAAAGGTATCAATAACTTTTTTCCTAAAAGCCACCGTTACTGAGATATAACGATGCAAAAAGTTGCAAACGTCA